CATTTTTTTTTAGTACATTCCCTCTCAACAAGAAAAATTTTTTTTAGTTTTTTATCTCTCTATGAATGAATGGTATCAGATTAGTGCTGTTCAATTGTAGGGTGGCAAACAGACAAGTTCAATCCAGGCTTTAGCAGGTCTGGTGTGGCAGGTTACTTGTAGGTGCCAATTGGGTAACTGTATGATGATAGCATATAGAGTTAGATATAGTTCTATTTGTATATTATCTGTACTAAATATTTATAAATAAACTTCTGACTGGTTGACCATCATGGCTGCCAAAGGTTAAAAAAAAAATAATTTTATATCAATTACAATTATTTTGAAAGATTTTTAATATACAAAATCTTTCATGATATTTTATATATTTATTTTGCTAATATGAAAAACAGATACTAATTTGAAAAAATCAGACAAGTAAAAACCTTAAGTGAATAATACTACTAATCAGATTACTAAAAGTTTTGAATCAAAAGAAAAAAGCTCAAATATTATAACTTCAATATATCAGAAATAGGTCATAGTTCTTTTAGGCTATTTGGATTAAAAATTTGATATCAAAAACAAGAATATACTATAAGTACTAAAGATATGTTATAAAATAAATACTAAGGTTTGAATAAACTTTGCAAAAATAAATTTTGTTAACAAGAACTAAATATAAGTAGTTAGTTAGCAAAAGGACCTTCTAAAGTTATACAGTTAGATAATATATTCTAAATTATATAATAACTTGATAGACATACAGACAGAAAGATCAGAGTAGAGAATGGTGATTCTAGTGTAGTGGTTGGATTGTCATTCTTCAAGTGGCAGTTCTAAGGTTCAAATCTCATCTACAATAAAATTTAGAAATTAACCTGTATTATAACAAACTGTCTTTTGACAATCAGTTGAATTTGTGTATCTGTAACTTTAAGTTGCACCATCTCAAATAGGAGCTTAGGTCATCTATGCCAAGTATAACATTACATGTATATAGAGGAATATTAATAACTGATATCACATAAGACTTCAGTACAAATCCATAATAAGACTACTAGGTGCAATAAACTAAAAAACTAAAGAGTCAGAAGCCCACTTGGAAATTTTTGAGTAAAGAAATAGCATAAACTTTTGATAATATAGTTAAACTTGTAAAAGCGTATGAAATACCTCCAAAGTAATAGGTAGATAAATTGGATATCAAGATGTGTAGAGAAGTATATGATCAACCAAGCTATCAAAATTGCTAGAAAAAAAGGATATATAAATGTACCATACCAGGCTATCTGAATTGAAAATCAAGGAAGTCCTGTTGGTTCTAAGTAGCGATTAGTAAGAGATGATGAAGAAGACATCATGATGATAGGTACTAGAGTTCTAGTGAATTTTATAAGAATAGAAATAGTATAATGTAGCAATTAAACAGATAACCCTTATAACTGCAAGTGTTAAATAACTATAACATATTAGATCAGCTATATGTGAGATATAGATGATTCTAGTAAGTTTTTTGTTAAGGATAAACTAGTCTGAAAGGTCTTGAAAGCATCAGATACTTTGGATAGGTGTAGCTCAGAAGATGTTACCATGATTACAAGTCAGATTACATATGCAAAGGGTTTAAATAAGCAAGACTTATAATTGACTTGCAGGTATGACACCTAGTGTAGAATCTGTATATAAAAACTTGTATAGCTATTTGTCAGATAAAGTATAAGAATCAGAATGTTTAATTAAGTAATCTTCTAGCAGATTACAGATATGAAAACTAGTATAGAACCTGCAAGTGAACTATTTAAATAGATAGTCAAAAGTTGTATATATAGCTAGTTGCTCATTCACCTTGTACAAGTTATATAACTATAATTAAATCACATAAAAACAATAATCACCAATAATTAATAGTCTTAGCAAAAGCAAAAAAAAAAATATTATTATTAAAACTGTAATATTATTGCTAAAACCTATTTATAAAATTATTAATTAATTTTTTTTTTAATTTATTCAACTATTAAAGATTTACATATAGTTTTTTTGTAATTGTTACTTATATTACTTATCTTACTAAAGCTAAAAATAAAGAAAATTCAATAAAATAACATATTTTAGTAAAATTCTTAAAAAATTTAGTAAATATTAAAATGAATTACAATTTATTTTTCTAGAATTAATATTATTTAATCTATTATTCAAATTTTCTTTTTTCATTCTAGCTTTAAAAAAAACAAAACAAACCAAATAATTAATCAAATTTATTAAAACTATATTCTTTTTAATACAAAAATAAATAAGCAGGTTTTATTAATAAACCTCACTTAACCTAGTATTTTTTTACATAAGAAACTTTTTTTTTTCTTGATCTATTGCTGGCATCTCAATGTGATAATCCAGTAATTAGGTAAACAAATTCTATAAATTCGATCAAGATCAGCTTTAAATAAATATAAGATTAGGGCTAATTTAAATTTTCATATTTTATAAATTAGGTTTAAAAACTTAAATTAAAGATATGGATAAAGATACATTTTTTGAAATCGGAAAAATAAGAGAAAGAAGCGGAAATTTTTTTTATCATAATAAAAATTATTACGGCATTTAGTCAGCCGAAACTAATCTTTCATAGTTGCCGCAATTAATTTTCATATTTGCGAAATTTTTTGAACTCTTTTCATCAAAATACATCATATAGCACAGTTACTTTAGAGGATCCTATAAAAATGCTTCAATGTCGAAATGTTTGCCGAAAATACCTTTTTTAAAAATAATTTAGGCACACATCTATATCCGATGCGTTGCGTTGTGAATAAACCTTAGAGCGACCTAAATTTCAAAACAATGTACTCGATAAAATAATTTAAGAATTACTTAATTCCTTAACAACTCAAGTACAACTTAGAATTTTATTACAACCTATGCTTATTTGAAATCAATCTAAATGGATTCTAAATTCATAATAATTCCTTTCTGCATATCTACGTAGTACTTAATGTAAATACAAATATAAATTCATTGCTCCCATAAATCTAAGCTTATTATACGTACTATATTACTACGTACAATTAAGACTAAAATATTTCAAATATATTTACAAAATACGTTGTGAATATTCACTTAAAGTTTGTAATTTAGGCACACATGTATAGCATCGGGTACGCAAGTTTAATAAGTTGGATTATAGGATTTGTTGGCGTTTCAAGATCATGTAAATGTCGTCTATTAGCTGATTGGCTGCTATAGTATTTCGAAAGCAATTCATTACGAGATAATCTTGAGATTCGAAGAGTCGAGTGGGCACATGATGGGTTCCACAGCTATAGCATGCAAAGTATGCTCTGCAATAAAAACAACAAAAATTTAAAAATTTGGTCTGGAAAATATGATAAAAAAAGTATATAACAATGAACTGTAACTTATATGCTGCGGCTGTAGAACCAGCATTTTGGGTCGACTCGAGATTCGGTCATCTGATAGAGTTGTTGTCCTCCGGACATTAAATGATCAGCAAAGTGATACAAAAGTTACCTTTTTGATACATAAAAGGTTACGTTTTTGATGTAGTTATTAGTTTAATTCATAATATCGCATCAAAAAGTATTTTGAAAAATTTCTGTCTGTCCCATTGCATATCACGTGACCACTTTATTTGTGAAATGATCACTTTATTTGCAAAACAAAAAACCACACAGATCGATTTTATTTGTCCGGAGCGTAGTGAAGGACTATATTATTATGTAAAGGGTGATATGCAAGGTTTGTTTGTCTGGTCACATAACGTGAAAATCATCCAATCAAATCAAATAGTAACACATTTATACTCGTTCCAGACATACAATGCTATGCATTTACCTAGTAAAGATTGAAAAAGAGAAAAAAAATAAAAATACATAGCATAATAAAAATTTGTATATAAAAATATTTTAACACTAGTATTAACCATCATTACTTCAATTTAATTACAAATTTATTACGGTATCGAATTTAAAATCTATTTAAGAGTAATTTGGAATAACGATAAGGATTTTTTTGGCCCCCGCCATACCGATACGGAGCAATGATAGTATTTGTTGATTTGTTCATGAATTAACTATAACACTGGTTTAGCATAGTGATTTCATCATTCAATGATGATCCCTTACATTTAATAAGCGAATCCTCAAAGTTCGTTGTTGGTACTATAGTGACACATCTTGTTTGATTCAGATTATCTGATCGGTCAAGCAAAAAATATCAGGCCAAGATGTCAAATTTCGTAAATTTCGCTGAATTATGAGGTAAGTTACTTAAATACAGAAATATAATGACACTTTTGCCAAAATACTTCTTCCAACTAAAAAAAATTACATTAATTCCATTCGTCACTGCTTAAGAGTTTTCTTTCATTTTGCTATTGTTAAGTTATTACGATGATTGTTGTGTTACTATCGTGTCTTTTCATATGTTCGCGACTTGTTTGAATCCAGAAAATTCAATTTTTTATACCAATTCTACATATTACAGGTATATACATATTGTATCAGTATGTGTCCCACCCTACCAATTCTAATACATTTACGTGGTCTTCGTCTTGAGTTTTTTTTCTATTTGTTTAGAAATTAAAAATGTTTATTAATTATCCAATATTTGTTATCAGTTATGTCAATATTGAAATATCAAATTTGTTTCTCTTGGAGTTGCATCAAACTAATAAGGCAATGTTCGGATAACGATAATTTACGTAGATAATTTATTATGAGTACATATTTATTATAGTACGCATCAGGTATATTATAATTTCACTATGTAGTACCTATAGTATAATCAATAACGATAATACGTGAAATTTCGTGTGGCAATTATTTTTTCGTTTTCATTTAAACTAGCTTTAAACTCGTTACAAAGTGAACAAGCTTCTTTACTAGCTGGCTTAGCAAGATAATCGACTGGCTTAGTAGTGGCTTAGTAGTTTTAACTTTTGAAGAAAAGATCAAACCACATTTATGTTTTTTACGTAGTGTAAAATTTAAACACAAGGAAGTATGAGAATTAGCAAATATACTTCGGTGCCTTCAAAGGACATTGATAATGAACATAACGAAGGTGCTTTAAGTGAACATGGTGAGATTCCGGAACCTCTATGGGTACAAGGGACGGATTCTCCACCAGAACATGACTCCTATGAAACAATGGAGGAACATGAGATTATGCTTAGTAAAGAAAGAGGGGAAGACGATACTATAGTAGAACTAAGTGAAAATTGGGATGAAGAATATTCAAAAAATAAGGTGAGTTTGTAATTTATGACGCACCAATTACGTTCAATAAAACAAATGCTTATTTTATGGGTGTTTCTGATCAATTATCATTATGTCGAATTATAATTTTATTATAGAAAAATGAAAGATCGATTCTTCCGTGTCTGATTATTACTGCAGTTTTTATAATCGCATGGGTTGGTTCAACAATCATATATGCCTATTATCGTTCTGGAGATGTTGCATCAACAAGTACTTCTTTAAATCGTATACAATTTGATGATATATATAATGGAAGTTTTTATCCTCACTGGACATCATTGAGATGGAGCTCTGCTGGTATGTTATTAATCTTTCTTAGCTCTTTGAAAATTTTTTTTAGTGTCAATTTAAAAAGTCAATTGTACTCTCTTTTATATAGGTGGTGATGACGGTGTATTCATTTATCAAGATGATGATTATAATATTATTTTGGAGCAAATATCTGACAGATCGAAAAAAACTTTAGTGAAGGGCACAGATATTATCGATGTATACTTATGCTTTTATATATATATATATATTTTTTTTTATTAACATTTATTTAATGTGTTTATTTATTTACTTTTTGATTTTGATTTTTTATCAGCCATCTGGTAGACCACTTGATTATTTTGAGTTTTTCGTATCAGCGGATAATCAATATATAATGTTTGGAACTAATTTCACAAAAGTAAAAAACGGTTTTATTAATTCGTGTATTAGACATGTTTGACTTTCAAATCTTGTACTTATAACTTCCTTGTATAGGGATGGAGACACTCATATTCTGCAAATTATTATATTTTTAATATTTCTTCAAAAACCTCTTTTCCCCTAACAAAAGAAATTGATTCAAATAATCAAGCTGTAATTTCCTATGCTGAATGGAGTCCCGTTGGTCATGATATCGTAAGACGAATTTTTCAATCACTTTAAAATTCTGGTTAGACTTTGTATTTCGAATATATAATTTATTCTTGAATGAACCCAAACGTGCCTAAGGCATTCGTCAAGGATAATGATGTATATGTATCGCTAGGATTGACTGAGGAACGGCGAATAACATATGATGGTTCTGACGTCGTTTTCAATGGCATTCCAGATTGGATCTATGAAGGTATAATTATCATAAATATTAAATTGGATCATACTGTCAGACGTTATTTCTAATATAACTGTTTCTACAGAGGAAGTTCTTGCCTCAAAATACGCTTTATGGTGGTCTCCTGATGCAAAACGCATCGCTTATCTTCGTTTAAACGAAAGCGAAGTGCCTGAATACCGTTTTCCACTCTATGTTGATGGAATGCACGTTGAACCATATGTAAGAGAGGTCGTGATGAAATATCCGAAACCTGGTTATCCAAATCCTATTGCTACTTTTCATATATACGATACGACAACTCCTTTGATTTCTCAATCGGGTGCTGTTAATTTTATAAATGATTTTCCTAGTGACGATAAAATAATTACTGAAGTTTGTTGGGTTGGTAATGATAATGTATTGGTTAGAGTCATGAATCGTGTACAGGATATTGCAAGAGTTGTTTTAGTTGATCCTGTTACTAGAAATGGAACAACTGTTCGAGAGGAAAATGCTGATAAAATGGATGGAGGATGGTTTGAAATTGTATATATTATTTGATCATTTTACCTTTTCTTTCCTACATTATTTTGTGCTAAACTAATACTTACGGCCTTTTTATTAGACTAGAAGTTGGGTATACCTCCAAAAAGGCGGTAGCATCAGACAAGATTCTTATATCGATGTAGTTGTCAATAATGGATACAATCACCTTGCAATTTTCTCTCCATTAAATTCCAGTTCACCACGATATCTTACCAGTGGTAATTGGGAAGTTGTGGATGGAGTTAAAGCTGTAGATCGTAAACGAGAGCTTATGTATGTGTACACTTTCGTATCAAACCCCCCCCCCCCCCCCCCCCCCCCTCTTTTTTTTTTTTTTTTCTTTTTTTACATTTTTTTTTTTAGTTAGATTTTTTTTTATTATCTACTTCATTAATGAGACCACCAGGAA